GGCTTGTCACAGCGACCCGAGATGTTGGCCGTGACGAAGCCACCCCCACAACACCCCAGAAATATTTAAATGGAAGGAACCTCGTTACAAGGAACATCATAAAAATCATTGCAACTCATTAATCAATCTCTTACTCAAATGTAATAAAATATTTTAAATGGTTTGAAATAGCTTAGTGAATAATTTTTTTAATATTGAACGTATTGAAGTAACGGGTTTTGCGCAACCTCTCCCTTCAACATATGGACGTCAAGAATTAACCAAAGTCAGCATGTGTTAAGTAAGTGCTACTGAGACTATTACAAGGCAGCTAAGGCAGGTCTGAAATACGAGATGCTGGCTAGCTTTCCTCGCTACAACCGATCGAAACCTCTTGTCCACTCTATCCTGTCCTCCAACTCTTCCAACGCAAGCAGTCACGCGTGTTCACCTTCACACTCAAGTGTGGCCAACGAATGGTACTCCGTAATCCCTCAAACTGTACCAAAGTCAATTTCAAAATTATTATAAAACTGTCTTATATCAAAATCTTGTCTAGCGACATCCCAGAGCTCAACACAGCCCTAAGAACAAAGAAAAGTGAAATATCCTGAACGTAGAGCGTGTTAGAAGCTTAATCCACTACCCCAGCAGCACGCCACTTCCACCCGTATGTAAGGTGGCAGCAAGGGCCAGTTCATGCATCGCTCCTCCTCCTCTTACTCACCTGTCCACACAAGTCGTTACCCATTGCTAACAAAATATGAATAGATATTTTGATAAAGCGAATGACGTGAGGTAGGCCGGCTGGCGTAGGCCTAAATGCGCTAATAAGTGCCAGACTGCAAGACTGCCACGAGGATGAAGGTTAGAGTCCAGTGAGAGCGTAACCGGCCGTGTTGGTGTGACTGTGTGACGCATCACCAAGGTCAGGCACATCGCCGGTTGCCGCGCGCGCACGCACGCACCAACACTCATCTATATATGTCAATCAAATTTACTGCATTATTTATAATTAACCAACCTATGTCTAGCTTCATTTTACTAAACCGTGTGCAACGCAGTCATTATTTTGTATTAATAGTATATCGCATATCCAAATCTATTATACAACTAATTGGGCCATGTATAGTGACAACAAAATGTAAAATCCATTGGTGGTTAACGTAAAGAAGGGTGTTGTTAGGTGCGGTAACCAAGACCACCACCACCACACCGGCCATTTTGTGTGGCTCCTGCCTCTCACATTCCCCATCACCTAGAGCCAGGCAAGCGCAGGAAATAGGTCTCATTATCACCTAATTTTAAACATCACTTTGAATAAATCTGACACATTAGTAAATATCTGATGACTAGCAAGCAGCATTAGCTAGTTCTCAGTCGCATTCCATTAATTATAAGCCTTGCGGACTAGTTTTCTTTACAGTGACAGCAGGATGTTTAATTTCTACAGGAAATATGTTAAGTGATTAGAAAATCGTCTGTAGAATACCATTCCGGCAACATAGTACCCTAACGACTGGGCATATATTTGGGTTATTTAAAGACGAGGTACAATGATGGTACAATGTCAACAAGAGGGATTCATCCTGTGTAACAGATAAGGCAGATAGCCACCAGTGGCCCTCCATCCCTCCCCCTCATATTATTGGGCAGGGGTAGCTTTCTCACGGGGGGTTACTATATAACACCATCTAACAACAAGATCAATTCAAAAACATCATAGTTATATGAATTGCTCCGTCCATGTCTACATACAGTATTATGATGTAAGGTTACCTAGAATACAGTAGGCCTACAATACGACACATCCGAGAAGTCTTAAATTGTGATTGTTAACGAGTAGAACATTTACAATTATATACTACAGGAATACTATACAATTATTGTAAATAATTGTAAAAAAAAATTCATAGGCCTATTTGAAAATAATTTTTTTAATTAGTTTTATTGAAGCCTGTGTAAAGTTTACATCAGGCTTGATTCAAGGCTCCCCCTCCCCCAGGTCGAACTACTATGTATCTATTTACTGCTAAGTGAACAGAGACATAAGGTGAAAGGAAACGTGCTCACCCGTTTTCCCCACCTGGGAATCGAGCCCGGAATCCCCGAGTGAATCGAGAACAAAGTCAACTGTACTACATATCATAAACGCCCACCATAATATCGTTTTCATCTTCAACGAAATTGGCAACAACAATGGTCAGGTGCAACACTCCAAAGGTTCCCAAGCACCCAAAGAACCACAATTCACATCCCATGTACCTCACCACTACCCTCAAATAATTATATATCATTTTGGTATTTATTTATTTACCTATCCCATCTCAAGATACAATATTCAATATATGTAATCCACTAAACAACAAACAATAAAGTACTTTATCACGTCTATATAAAAATCGGCATTGTTATTTGTTCTAAGTTTTATCACACAACAAATCGTGGTCAAGTAAAAACTGACAACAAATGGGCGTCGTATACACAACAATAAAGCCTAAATAAATATCAGCCATCAAACAAGTTACACATATAATACAATATTTTTTTGCAAGTTACTGTACAAGCTAAATGTATAAAACAATAGGCTTTACAAGTCATTACATAAGCTACATATACAATAAAATAGGCTTACAAATTGTACAAGCTACACATATAATACAATAGGTTTTTGCAAGTTAATGCACAAGCTACATGTATAAAACAAGACTTTACAAATACTTTCATAAGCTACATATATAATAAAATAAGCATACAAGTTGTACAAGCTACATGTACAATACGAGAGAACTCACAAATAGGTCTACAAGCTACATACATAATACAATAGGCTTAAAAGTTATTGTGCAAGCAACAGGCATAAAATAATAAGGTATATAAGTCATTGTACAAGCTACATGTATAATGCAATAGGCTTCAAAAGTAGTTGTACATGCTACATACATAATAAATATCTGGTAGGCTTCACAAGTCATTGTGTACACACTACATGCATACTAAATAGGTTTCCAAGTCAATGAATAAGCTCAATACAATAGACTTCACAATCGTACAAGCTACAATATTTGTATAATACAATAGGCATTGCAAGTCATTGTACAAGCTACAGTATATGTTTAATACAATAGGTTTTGCAAATCACTTTACAAGCTACAAGTATAATACAATAGGCTTCACAAGTATATATAATACATTAAGATTCACAAGTTGTACAAGCTACACAGTACAGGTACATTTCAATTGGCTTCACAAATCATTGTATAAACTACTGTACATGTATAATACAATAGGCTTTGCAAGTCATTGTACAAGCTACCCATTACAGGTACATTTCAATAGGCTTCACAAGTGGACCGAACTCTCACAAGTCAAGCCTGGCCTCGGGCCGGGCTTGGGGAGTAGAACTCTCAGAACACCATCAAGCAGGTACCAAGCAGCAGGTATTAAGTCATACAAACAAGTTGTATAATACAGTAGGCCTCAAGTAATAGTAAAAGCTACAGGTATAATACAACAGGCTTCATGAGATATTATACAAGCTACAGGTATAATACAACAGGCTTCATAAGATATTATACAGGCTACAGGTATAATACAGCAGGCTTCTTAAGATATTATACAAGCTACAGGTATAATACAACATGCTTCACAATTCATTATATTAGCTACCTGTAACATACAATTGTCTTCACAAGTCATACAAGCTACTTGCCTCCATGCATAATACATAAGCTGTGAAAGTAATTCTACAAGCTATCAGCAATGTTTCACAAGTCACTGAAAAAGCGGCATGTTTAATAATAGGCTTCACAAGTCATTACACAAGCTACAAGTATAATACAATACTAAACAAGTCACTATATAATCTATCTGTACAATTTACAAGTATATTGCACTATGCATTACAAGTCACTGTACAAGCTATAGATATAATACAATAGGCTTCACAAGTCACTGTACAAACTACATATATAATACAATAGGCTTCAGAATTCGTTAAACAAACCACCTGTAATGTACAAACTACAGGTATAAAAGACTTCACAAGTCATTGCACAAGCTACATACATAGACTTTATTAGTCATTATATAGGCTAAATGGACAATACAATAGGGTTCACAAGTCTGTAAAGCTACATGCACAATACATTAGGTGTCACAAGTCACGGTACAAGCTACATGTATAATAGGTTTAACAACTTGTTGAACAAGCTGCTTGTATAATATAATCACCCTCTAATCACCTTTAGACCATCAACCGCAATTCATACTTATCGCATGCCATGTAAAACTAACTTTATTTGTTGGAAAAAGCACCATAAAGAATTTGATCCGTTTTATGAAGGTCACTTCCTTAACCTGACGACACACGAGTCAGTATACATTAGGAACCATGTACAACGAATAACCAACTCCAATGGAGCGAACCGATACTAGTGACAATCAAGTTATCTAATTAAAAGGTAAACACCATAAGTACATAAAACAGTCAATTTGTGGCGTAAGGTTGCCAGCCCCACCCGCCGCCGACTGCAGTAATTCAATGTCAAACATACCCAGTCATGCTCTAGGAGTCTAGGGAACCATGCTATGGAAGAACAGTTACGTCAAGTGCTGGCCTGGCAACACCCCCATTACCCTCCACGCATTTACCAACACATTAAGGCGTATTAATCACGTGTTATACGGGCTATTGCAGGCTGTCATGCTCAATGACATACATCCCTTAAAAAAAATACTTATCGCATATTTAATGGTAATTCTTATTTACACGTATTTAAAGATGCGTGATGATTTCACCAGAATTGTTGTCTTTTAAACGTGATAATGTATTGAAAAACACTCTTGGCGCTACATTAATTACCGAAGGATAAGTCTGAAAAATTATATTTTATATATAATGCGCATAATTTAGGGGTAAGGTCGGGGGGTCGTAGCAGTAAGGGAAGGGGGGGTAAGGAAGAGGGGGAGGTAGGCCTACCGCCTCCCCCCCCCCACTCAAGGGCAGATGCAACACTCACCTCGCCATGTTCCTCGCATCTTCCCTCTGGAGTGTTCTCTGGGAGGAAGTATATCCTGAGTGAGACCAGAATCTGGCCTGAAGAACGGTCCTCCCACAGTAACTGTGCTTCTCCCACAGAAATAATGTCTTCTTCCTCCCAAATCTTGACGAAGAAAAATTCACCCAATGACAAAATTTTTTGTTTCCCGTGTAGCGTATATTTGAACGCTTTGTAGAATGTGTAATTGCCGTGGTGGCCACACGGCGACCCCACGAACTGAAAGAGAAGAGAGAGGATAAATGCAACAATTATCGCAGCACTTATCCTTGGCTTGGCGCGGGCTTCGCACACGAGCCAAGCACAAACCTGCTCTGCATTATCTCCACCCAAACCCAAACCACCTTTTTCCTCTTTTCTTCTAATTTATGGCTCAAATGCCCACAGATTTTTCCCACAACACAGCCGGTATATTTAGACACACGTCGGTACCGGTTACGTACCTGTATCTTGTGATTAGTCATTGTAAAACGCGAATTATTTGCACAGTATCTCCCACGCACGCCACTCACATCGTCTACTTTGTATTTACTATAATTACGTGACGTCACAGGTTGATCCCGCGTGACGTCACGCAGTGGGCGGGCCTTAAGCGTCTATTCATACTATACCAACTAAAACTTTACAAATCTTGAACCATTTAATATTTTTCTAACTGACCATCAAAATGTGTTTCGCAATTTTAGAGTTGCACAATAAAATAATATTTATGTAGCAATCCTAAAAATATAAGGTAATAAAATGTATTTATGAGTAATGAAGGCGGAGGAGTTCCAGCACTATCTCTCCAGCATCAGCTGGTAGTGTTGACAGTCACGGCAGTAACACGCGGGTACAGAATCTTGTCATCTTGTTTATCATAGCTGCAGTGTGCCTCAACGTGGGATACCCTCCTCACAGCATTCTCTAATAATGCTCCTTATTAATGGTAGGCCTTGAGTGCTTCTGCAGCACTTAGACGCTGTGCTAGTGACATTTGGCCTTGTGTATGAATACAATTTAGTTTCCGGGAACGTCATATCTGTTTTTCAGTTTGATAACACAAGTTTTGATGTATGTTTTCGCATGCTCAAACTTTTGGCTTAAAATTCAACAGCCTCAATGTAAATGTTAATCTGCAGCATACCCCCAAGTGATGTTCAAGCTTTCGTAGAGAACGTTCATTGGTGTTACCCCTAGAAATTCCACACAGGTGTTTATTATTTTTGTTCTATGAGGAGGCAACATTCCTGATGCTGCTGTAGTATATAGTCTACCCAGGATGTTTACACTGTTTTCGGGCTCACCATAGTCCGTGCTACATGGACATTTCGTTCTGTATAGCTAAATCTAAAACAACAACAACGTTTATACTGTAGTTTACAATCTTCAGCATAACAGCAGATCCTTTATTACTCTACGTTCTCTATTCCAAGGGCGATTGGTTAGATGATAATATTAGAGCCCCTTAAATAAGGTTTCGTTCAAGCTTAGAACCCCCACTCTGAAATATCTAGATCTAATTTGTGTAAATTCTCAGCCTAACTTCGAATAAATGTTTACATTCTTTCCAAGATAAAGCAGAGTATGGTTCGGTGTCGAAGTGATCTGGCTTGGCCCTCAGACCAACGATTTAATGTGCGATTATGACATGATAGTGTTGGGCTTGACAGATAACATACATGTTTATTTGCAAAAAGGGAATGCCTAGTATTTCAGGAGCTTGGAAAGAATATAGAAGTATATTTATAATTAGGCTGATTTTTTACACAGGTTAGGTAAAGATACTTTAGGTGTTCCAGCTTCGAACAGAACCTTGATTCATTGTCATTCTAATGTGTTGATCATCTAGTGAAATGCAATCACCATCATGTGACTAGTTACATTTTGTATCAGTGTTTGAATATCGACATTGCTCACATGGTTCTAACAGCTCACTGGTGTCTCCCAGTAGTCATGAGAGGCTTCAAAATAATTTGGAGTTAAACATAGTTCAGCTCCTGGTTTCCCATCCTTATATGATAGTTGTAGTACTGTACTGTACTTGCCTGGGCTAACATGCAGATCATCACTGTAATAATATTTTGGTATTCTTTTTACTTTTTTCATACATATTCCTTACTCTTGAATATATTTTATACAAAAAATGAAGAAAAATAGTTATTTTTTCTTTTAGTCCTGGCTCTCATCACAATGTAATGCTGACAAATGTCAAAAGGACTTGGCCACTGCCAAGGCCAAAATAAGGATAGGTAAAGGATTTTATCTTCTATGCTTTTAAATACAAATCATAAATTTCATAAGAAAAAGCAAGCAAAATTATGATCCATTTGTTTTTAGCTCACAATCATGGCAATTTTAATGATAGCTGTACTTAAAGGGTTAGGGGGGGCCTCTATGCCCTTGGGTTTTTACCCCTTTTAATGGAGAAATAGCATAGATAGAATTCATGTGAGGATTTGTAGGTATGTACTGTACTGTAAATATTGTAGTAAAACCACTCTAGTAGACTGCATACTAGAGTAGCACCAAATTCCCTTTATCTATTTATTTTTTAGAGTGTACTTAAACCACTGATTAGGTTCATGGTGCATAAAATTAACAGTTGGTGATACTTCTCCTAAGAGATAATATTAAATATTAGGATTTAGAATGTTTGGATTACTGCTTCAAGACGAACTTCTTGAAACAGTTTGCCCGAGGAGAGTAGTCCATAACATTTAGATCAGGGATCTTTGAAGGCCACTCATCTGGTGTAATGAGGGTTGGAGCATGTGTTTGCAGTCATGTAACTGTAGCCCTCACTGTGAATGGTTTTACATAATCCTGTTGCCAAATACATACACTCTATTGCCATCAATTATATCATAATTATAACTAAACATTAAGGGACATATCTCACACTGTGGTATACATTCCAATAGATTTTTTGTTTTCCTTCATCAATAAAGAACATATAGTATTCTTGCTCCACAGCGAAACCCATGAGAAAATAGTTTTGTTTTGCTGTACCAAGATACAGCATCATAAGCCATTATTGGTGGATGTTGATACTGTAGTCAGTTTCAACCAATTTTTTTCTCTTTTATTTATAAAACACATAAATACAATATAAAAACAGTTACCAAAGCACCATTACACAGTGAGTTGGATAGCACACACATGGCTCATAAGAAAATTGAAACAATCAACACAAAACAGGTGATTAAACTACCCATCCCTCAGCACAGAAGGAAAATTACAGTACTGACGAATAAAGGCGTATGATGGGGAACATAAATGAACACAACACAAGGGGAAAGCATATATCCATCCACTTAACCATGTACAAAACCCATAAAACACTTGAAAACATTAGTAGCGTTTTACCCAATGAAAACATCCCCAAAACGCCCCACTAAACAACACACCTAAGGCATACAGACCAAAAGGCCGGACACATAATACAAAAACAAAAACCCATGACAAAAAATGCATAAAAGAAAGAAAAGCAATATACAAAAATGACAGTAATAAAGTAACAATGTAAAACAGCGTAAACGAATACAAAGCAAATTACTCAGTTTTAAAGCACACAGTTCAGTTACAACACGCAACAGCCAACACAAACATATATATACACATACATATATATATATACATACACATATAGTTTTGTTTTCCTTTTCCATATAAAGTCCTTAAATGAATAAACATTCAAACCCTAGCAAATACAGAGCTAACTCACACCACCCAAACCTAGGACACGAATAGTATAAAGGTAACAGAAGAAATGCACAAATGAGAAGGTACTCACTCAAGGAAAACAGAACACATGATTTGTCAAAGGTCACATATGTATTATGGCAGGGCATAAGAAATAGGACCTAAGAATCCAAAATGAAACACACATTACACTCCGAACCCGGAGAAAGCATGAATAAAACCAGTAAATATAACTAGTTAACTATATAACAAAGTCCCCTCAACCGGAAACAATGTAACAGGGGGGGACACAGCTCCCCTTAAAAACACATATACACATTAGTACCTGTACCACCCAGAAACTGGGAAAACAGGGAAGCACAACATAGGGACAGGTCATGTAAGGAATCCAGGAAACCATACCTCAAACAAACTCATACACACCCAAACTGTCTCAAATCATAGCACCACAAACATCTGTATGGTACCCCAGCCACAATACCATCATAGTGCTATGCAGTGACACACACAGTGCCGTCCCACAAACCCATCACAAGAAGAAAGGAAGACATACGGACAACAGGTCATGTCGCGCACAAACCCAGCACACACACACACTCGCACAAATGGAGATTAATCCCACATGGACAGCCTGCCAACAACCAACATCAAAACAAAACGGAACCCAGAACACTAACAGCCGCCACCTGAAGAGTATAGTACAATCAAACCCACAAAACGATAGCAAACTACAATCCCAGTACCCCCCCCCCAAAAAAAAAAGTCATATACTACCCATAACGCACATAAGTATCAGTAAAATGGTCCCCCAACCTTTCCCCAAGCAACCAACGTAATTCCCATTTCGAGTAACGTAACCGACCTTCCAAAAACCCCAACATTCTATCCACTGTATACCACTCCCGCCTCCCAACCCACACACAATAAAGATAATCCGATAGAACCAAAAGCACAGTATTGCGGACCCTCCTACAAGGAGCCTGAACATCAAACATCAATAAACGTAAAGGGGAAATACGATACACTGACCCGCAAAAACGCACAAGCGTCCTAATCAACCAATCCACCAACCTCGCCCGGCCTGGGCAAAAATAAAACACATGAAACGCAGTCTCCAGTCCTCCACAAAGGTCACACCCAGCACTATCCTTAATCCCCAACCTCAGCAGCCGCTCGTTAGTCGCAAGCGACTCATGTAAATACCGATATAGGAATTCCCTCTGCGACGGAGCTAGAAACTTCAAATGGAGCGATTGCCACACCACCATCCAATCAAAAAGAGGAAACTAGTCTTCCACAGCAGGGGCGACAAAAGGACGCAATTTTCTCATACACCCTCCGACACAAAAAACAAGAACCCCTCCACACAACAAAGCCTCCGGAGGACATCAATCGCACAAGTATAAAAGGGAGGCGATAGAAACGCAATCTCTTTACACAAGGGTAACCTCAACAGAGAATTTACACGCATCGTACAATAATATAACCCCAGAGAGAACACACCGTCCCCCTCCAAGAGCCCCTTCCTAAACGAGACAAAAAATATCGCCAACGCCTTATAGTATACATCGAACAATCCAATCCCGCCTCGCAATTTTGGCAAACAAAGCGTAGACCTACGTATCGGACAATACCTCCCACCCCACAAGTATCGAAAAAACCCCTTATTAATGGCCAATGCAAACTGCCGACTCAACGGAAAGGTATGAGCCATGTACCAAACTTTGGACAGAACCTTGCAGTTAAGTAGCAGCCCCCTCTGAAACAAAGTCAACCTCCTCCCATACAAACATGAAATTGAACCCAAAACTCTTCTAGAGACTGCTTCCCAATTCACCTGCAAGGACATCGCATACGTTTTACACCACCGGATGCCAAGAGTCTGAATCGAGTCCACAACCGGGAACCAAGAACCCCCCCACGAAGGCCGAGAAGCCCAGGCATCAAGCCCCATCATACAAGATTTCTCTCGATTTAGCACTGCCCCCGCCGCCCGATGAAACCGAGCCAGTATATCCTGCACCACAAAAACTGACTCCTCTGTGGAGACAAACACAGTCGTGTCGTCCGCATACCCTACAACGGGTACCAGCAAACCATTCGGGAGACGTGGCGGCACAAGAGAATGATGAGACCGCAAAGCCATATACAGAGGTTCCTGAAACAGAATAAACAGGATCATAGAAAGGGGGCAACCCTGCCGGACCGACCTCCCAAGGAAAAAGGAGGCACTTAATACCCCGT